GTGTATTAATTAAGGGGGTGTATTAATTAAGGGGGGTGTATATTAATTATGGGGGAGGTATTAATTAGGGGGGGTGGATTAATTAGTGTGGATTAATTAAGGGTATGTGTATCAATTAAGGGGGTGGATTAATTAAGGGGGTGTGGATTAATTAGTGTGGATTAATTAAGGGGTATGGATTAATTAAGGAGTGTGGATTAATTAAGGAGTGTGGATTAAGGGGGTGGATTAATTAAAGGGGGTGTGGATTAATTAAAGGGGTTTGCAGCACGGGAAGGTTTATTTAAGGGGGTAGGTTTAATTAATGGGGGTGCAGGTTTTTTTTAATTAATGGGGTTGCAGTATTTTATTTATTAAGGGAGGATGTGCACTGCAGATTTTTGTTAAGGGGTGTGCAGGATTTTAAGGGGGGTGTGCAGGTTTATTGTTATCAAAGGGGGTTGTGCAAGTTTTTGTTTTTTTTATTAAGGGGGTGTGCAGGGTTTTTTATTAAGGTGGGTGTGCAGTGTTTTTTATTAAGGGGGTTGTGCATGGTTTCTGTTTTTTATTAAGGGGGTGTGCAGTGTTTTTGTTTGTTTTTTTTTAATTAAGGGGTGTGCAGGGTTTTTATGTGAAGGGAGTGTATGAAATTTATGTTGTCAGTGTGCAGGATTTTTGTATGAAGGCTGAAGGGCAGGAGTTTTCTAGAAGGGGCGAGACAAGGGGCTTTGAAGAAAGGGGCAGAGCCAGTGGCGTACATACCAGGGTCGCGGCTGCGACCGGGCCCGGCCCACCAGGGGGCCCGGCCGCCCCTGCGACCCGGTATGTAGCCACAGGGCCAGTCTCTTCCCCTGGGGGGCCCAGGAGCCGACCACCCCAGGGCCCCCCGAGGCTGGCCCTGCTGACCCCAGCGGGAAGGTGGCCGGCCGGCAGGCGCGCGCGCGAGGGAGCACTCAGTGCTTCCTCCTCAGCTCCCTAGCGCACCGCACTGATACCGGAGCCGGAAGATGACGCTACATCTTTTGAACCCAAATCCTTTTCCTATGCTGTTTCTAAGGAACGGCTCAATGAAGTGGTCTGGGTGCCAGGTCCCTCTAGTTTTAACCCTGCAGCTGAAAACATAGCAGTTTCAGAGATGTTTCACTGAGGGTTAATCCAGCCTCTAGTGGCTGTCTCACTGACAGCCGCTAGAGGCGCTTCCGCAATTCTCACTGAAAACTCACTGTGAGAAGACGCTGGACGTCCATAGGAAAGCACTGAGTAATGCTTTCCTAAGGGCAGTTTGAATGCGCACACGGCTCTTGCCGCGCATGTGCATTCGGATCTGCCGTCGGCAGGGGGAGGAGAGGTCACCAGCACCGAGGGAGCCCGACGCTGGAGAAAGGTAAGTGGCTGAATGGGTTTAAAGGGGTTAAAACCCCTTCATCCATTTATCTTAATCCAGTGCCGGGCTCCCTCGGCACTGGTGAACTCTCCTCCCCCGCCGACATCAGCTCCCGAGTGGCCGTTCTCAATGCTTTCCTATGGACGTTCTGCAAGCTGGATGCGATTTTTGCATCTGGAGGGTTAAAATCTGGGGGAGCTGGCACACAGACCACTTCATTGAGCTGAAGTGGTCTGGTTGACTATAGTGTCCCTTTAAATACCCTGGGTTGTCTACTTTTACAAACGGTATGCCAAGATGGGAAATATAATACAGATATCGCACTAGCGAACCCTAGAGCCAAAATAAATTTAGTATTTTTCTGCAGAAAACACCAATATGAAGCGAAATCGACCAAGCGGGTCTCAGCAACGAAAAATTAAGAAGGCAAAAGAAAAGTCAGCTGAGGCGATGTCTGGATCAATTTTAAAATATGTTGCACCTTCAACCTCTACCGCAGTAGGAGAAAGCGCTGAAGACATTCAGTCTGTTGAATCCAGAGGTGAAATGCCTGAAGTATCTTCTCATATGGGAAAGCGCAAGCGGTGAAAGTGATGTAGATGAAGGCGATGCCAGCAGAAGCCTGCATCAGCAAGACTCTGATGATGATGATGATGATGATGATGAAGAAGAAGAGGAGACTGTTCGACTGTCAGTTTATTCTGATGTTGCTGCTTGGCCAGTTCCAGTTCCAGATGTTTTAAGAGTGGACCTTATTAAGAGGGGAAGTGAACCTTTCCAAAATAGAGATGGGCCATTCAGTCCTGTTGAAAGGCAAGGAGAGAAATCAAAAGGGAAGAGTCGACAGTTGACCACTGCATGGTTCTATAAGGCTCTGCCTAATGGCCAAAAAATTCTTAGAACGTGGATGGTGTACTCTCCATCAAAACAAAGTTTGTTTTGTTTTTGCTGCAGACTTTTTGCTGTTGATAACAAAGTAACAGGGGCATCCAGTTTTGTTACTGGGTTTCAATTGTGGTGGAAGCTGAACCCAAAGGTGTCTGATCATGAGGCTTCTGAGCAGCATCTTACATACTTGGAGAAATGGAAGACCTTGAGAGCAGGATTGAAGCTACAAAAATGCATTGATCATGTCCATCAAACAACAGTGGACAGAGAGAAAAGGAGATGGAGGGATATTTTACATCGCCTTTTGGATGTAACTTTGTTTCTGGCTCACCAGAATCTTCCCTTTCGTGGTCATAGAGAGACCATGTCATCCGCAAACAAAGGCAACTTCCTTGAATTGGTAGAATTGCTCTCAAACTATGATCCCATTTTAAAGGAACATTTCATGAGGCTGAAACATGCTGTTGCATCTGGAAAGAGAATGACTTCCTATTTCTCTCCAAAAATTCAGAATGAATTAATTTGTCTTTTGGGAAATCATGTGAAGGACAAAATAGTGGCTGATATCAAGAAAGCAAAGTACTTTGGGATTCTTTTTGACAGCACCCCTGATGTGTCCCACACTGATCAGATGTGTGAAGTGATCAGATATGTTCATGTTGAAGTAAAGGAATCATTCTTGGGGTTCTTTCCTGTTGCTGAAAAGACTGCTGCTGAGCTCACAGAAAATATCCTGCAACATCTGGAGGAAGATGGACTAGACATAAGCCTTTGCCGTGGTCAAGGATATGATAATGCTGCAACTATGGCAGGGATTCATGGTGGTGTTCAGGCAAAAATAAAAGAGATTAATCCCAAGGCTTTGTTTATGCCATGTGCTAACCATTCCCTGAACTTATGTGGGTTGCACTCATTTGGAAGTGTTGTTTCCTGTGTGACCTTTTTTGGAACATTGGAGAGAGTGTATTCCTTTTTTTCGGTTTCTACACATCGTTGGGAATTGCTGATGGAAAATGTAGGTGTGACAGTGAAAAGACTTTCCCAAACAAGATGGAGCGCTCATTATCATACTGTGAAGCCAGTGAGGGCAAATTTTGAAAAACTGACTTCAGCCCTTAAAAAGTTATGTAATCCCAAAGAAAATGTGGACACAAGAGGATCGGCTCAGATGTTGCTGTCTGCCATATGTGATTTTTCTTTTTTGTGTTACCTTTCTTTCTGGTGTGAAGTTCTAGAAGAAGTTAATATAACACAGAAATATTTGCAAACTGTAGGACTCACTCTTGAAAAGTGCATTGTGAAACTACAAGGTTTGAAAGCGTTTCTAGCAGATCAGCGCAGTGAAATTGTGGAGAAGGCCATTTGTTATGCAACTACTATGTGTAAAGAAATGGACATTTCAATGGAAAGAAGAGGGAGAGTAAAGCTCCGTAAAACAATGCCAGGAGAGAAGGCAAAGGACGCTGGTCTCACATTGCCAGAGGAAATGAAAAGGGCTATGTTTGAGTGCCTTGATCGTTTTCATCACGAGTTGGAAATTCGTTCTCAGGCAATTGAAAAAATCCTTTCAATGTTTGCTGTTATTCAGCCAAGCTCTCTGGTTGTGGCAACAGAGAAAGATATTCGTAATTATACTCCAAAATTGACTGAGATTTTTGACGAATTCTCTAATGAAGACATCTTTAGGGAAATTGAACGTCTTCGGAGGCATTTGGAAGCTGCCAAGATCAGTGTTGAAGAAGCAGAGAAATGGACGGCATTGCAGTTCCTGGAGTTCATTGTTAAATGGGATTATTGTGAATCTCTGCCAAATTTGTCACTGTGTTTAAGATTCTTTTTGACTCTCTGTGTGTCTATTGCTTCATGTGAAAGAAGTTTTTCCAAATTAAAATTGATAAAAAATGTCTTTCGCTCAACCATGAGTGAGACAAGGTTGACAAATCTGGCTATACTTTCAATTGAGCATGAATATGCAAGGAAGATTGGCTTTGATGAAGTAATTGATAAATTTGCAGAAATGAAGGCTCGAAGGCAGCGGATGTGAATCATTGCATATTACCTCTGCCGAATAGACTGAGTGGTCACTTTGGATCTGTGTGTTTTTTTGTTTATAGAAAGCGTATTAACTGTTAAGTAAATGTTAATTATTTAAATTTTATTTATTTCTAAGTTAATTTATTTTTCATAGTTCCATTTTTCAAGTTGATATACAGTTTACAAATTTGTGAAATAAATATTATTGAAAACATTGAAAAAATTGTGGGTGTTTTCTTACATTTTTATTATGGAGGGGGGTGGGGGGGGCGGGTGCCACACTCTGGGTCCGCCCTGGGTGCCAAATGCTCTAGGTACGCCCCTGACTAAGTGTAATCCTGTTCTAAATTCGGTCACTAGATCAGGGAATAACGGCAAGACTAAGCAAGATTCTGTTGTATATTCCGTCTGCTAGCTCTCACACTATCTTGACTAAGTGTGTTTTGTTGTACATTCAGCCACTAGATCATAGATAGAATATATAGACTAAGTGGATTTTGGTGTACATTCCGTCCACTAGATCGTGGTGCCTGGGCAGCGTAGGCTAGTTGAATTCTGGTGTGCATTCCGTTCACTAGTCCTCAAGGTGCTGGCCAGTTAGAATAGTTGGGTTTGCTGTAAAAGTTTTAAAATACGCTGTAATTGGTGAAATGTATGTCCTGCTAGAAAGCTTGAGCTCTGCTGTTTAGCGGACTTGTAAAAAAGTGTGTATAGTGTAAAATTGGGCACGGTACCATAACCACTGACATTACGTGAACAATACTAAAATTACTGTTTAACATTGTATGTGTAACACCTTAACTATTACTAATTGAGATTGTAACTCTAAAACCATAATTGTCTAACTGTACAATAGTTACTAACCATACCATAACCACTGACTATAGAGATGAAATTGCTGAAATGTTATGTGATTGGTTAGTCTAAGTTGATTAATAGTGTAGATAATTGTATGGTTTGCGTAATAGTTACATTGATCAGTGTATAGTTCTTGGTGGGGTTTTTTTGATTTTATTTTGTGTGTGTGTGCGACGTTGTGATATTGTTGAGCGTGTCAGGATCCTGTGCGTGTGTGTACGTGTATGTTTCAGCCTAGTAACCGTGCTGCGTGGTGCTGTTGCTAAGGTAACTGGTGTGACAGTTGGAAGTGTGTTTGAATATTTGTTGTGGTTTTGAATCAGATACTCCATTTACAGTATGGGTGCGTCTGATTCAAAGGTAATTGAACCATTGTCTTGTATGTTGAAAAACTTTGCTAAGGGATATGCTGTTTGTGATTATGGTGTAACACTGTTTCCCCCCTTATCCCCCCCAAAAAAAAGATTAAAATACTCTCTGTAGCAAAGAACGGCCTGTTCTGGTAACCAGTGGCCTTCCTGTGGATCCTTGATCCAGATTTAATACAGCAGGTTTACATTGTTATAAATAATATGCTGGGGCAATATGAGTAGTTTCTGTATATAGATTGTTGAAACACTGCTAAATGGATAAAGCTGTGCCAAGAGGAACAATGAAGCCCACGGTAGCCAGAACCTGTTTGTCCACTAAGGCCTTAATTCCACCTAGTTTGGACACCCCCCTTGCATCTGATTACCAACCCCCTACTCTTCCTCCCAAGCTAAAACTGGTGTAACTGGTATTTGCACTCTCCCTGCTCTGGTGTCCCCACCTACCCACATACCTATCTCAGACTCTGTTCTTTTGTCTCGAGCAGTACCGACCCCCACTGGTTCTTTGTATTCTAAATTGCCCCTCCCAGCCTTGTCCAAGACATTCCCTGTACTAAAATACAAACTGAGATGCTTAATTAAGCACATCTGCTTCATTAGACTTTAGGAAGCACTCTAGGGCCACCTACTGGCTATCTTCCAGAGTTACATTGATTTACATTGTTTAAAATACTAATGACCATTTAATCATCCTTAACTCTATACTGGCATACAACAGACAGAAGTAGGACTGCTTACCCTATTTTAATATTTCTTGTCATAAGGTTTTATTTTAGGTATAAATATATTAAAAGCTAAGTTTTATTGTTAGACCAATAAAGACTATTTTGATACAATTACTTACCCTCTGGTGACACCTACTGGCAGGTTTTTGGTTTAACACATTTTTATTTTTCACCCACCTAATGCTGATCAGTAAAATTAATTTACCCATTTCCACTCACCAAATAACTCCCCGACTGGAACCAGTTAATGGACAACCCTATTGAGGTCCCATACTAACTCGACAAATGACTGGTACCCTTCAATCCCGACATTTACAAATGCCTCTTCGGCTTACACCGGGCCAACCACATGTTGACAGTGACGGTCAACTACAGCAAGCAGACCCTGTATTTGTATATGTCTCCTTTATCATGACCGATCTGTTCAACTGGAAGACCCATAATTCCTCATATACAGATAAACCTCAGGCCATGACGGACTTGGTCACCTCCATTATTCAGACTCATAATCCCACCTGGGCTGATTGTCAGCAGCTATTATTAACTTTGTTTAATTGCGAGAAAAGGACCCGGATTAATCAAGCGGCCATTAAGGCTCTTGAGGAAACAGCCCGTACTCAAAATCAAGCTAATCCGGCCGCATGGGCCAATGCCCATTTTCCCAATACTGACCCTAATTGGAATGTGAATGGCGCTGACATGCCCCAATTAAAGGCCTATCAGCAAGCCATTATTACTGGCATGAAGGAAGGTGGGAAAAAGGCAATTAATATGTCCAGGATGGCTGAGGTGTTACAAAAAGCTGATGAATCACCCTGTGCTTTTTATGAGAGACTGCTTGAGTCATACAGATTGTACACTCCTTTCAATCCTGAAGCCCCTGAAAACTCCTGAATGATTAATTAGTGCTATTAAAAGAAAGTTACAAAAGTTAGAGGGATTTGCAGGAATGTCCATATCACAGTTAATGGAAATTGCAAATAAGGTGTACATGAACAGGGAGACTGAAACAAAGTGTGAGGAGGAACGTATGATGAGGAAGAAAGCAGATATGTTAGCGGTTGCTATTTCAGGTGTAGCAAGACAGGGCGGGGAGATGGATAGAGGAGTTAAGAATAGGATGAATAGAGGACCACTGGGCAGAAATCAATGTGCTTATTGTAGGGAGGAAGGACATTGGAAGAGTGACAGCCCACAGAGGGGATATATTGTAGGTGGTAGACCAGATGAGAGAAGGGGGCGAGGTGGTTATGGTAGTAGCTTTAGAGGAAGAGGAATAGGAAGTTTTGGTGGAATTAATGGAAATGGCATAAGGGGTGTTCAGGAAGGAAGATATTATCCCCCTACTCAGAAACCTAGGGATAGGGAAGATAGAGATTTTGTGGGTCTGGCTGACACTGTCATGGAAGACTATTGATACCAACCGGGCTCCATCCCCCTTGGCCGAGTGGATCCTATGGTCGATATAACAACAGGGGGAAAGAGAAGTACCTTCATGATTGATACGGGTGCTGAACATTCTGTGGTGACTAAGTTGGTAGCTCCTCTTTCTGGAAAGACTGTAACTGTAATAGGAGCTACTGGGAGAAGCGCTGCTAGACCGGTTCTTAGGAGTCGCACTTGCATTTTAGGAGGCCATTTTGTGAAAAAACAGTTCCTAATTCAACTTTTAGGACGAGATCTATTATCAAAGTTTTGAAGCTCAGATAATTTTTCTACCTAATGGATCAACGTCTCTGAAGTTTAATAAATCACCAGGCATGATAGCAGTATTGGTACCAAAAGAAGAAGAATGGCGCTTCTACTCTGTAATAACAAATGCAAACCACCTCCGTATTAAAGGTATATTGGTTGTTCAAGTCTGAGGGATATACAGGTCATAAGAAATCTGCAGATACAAAAGTTATGTACTAGTGGTCCACAGATACACAGTGATTGTCCTTAAACGGATTAGTAACAATGTGGATACCTCTCAAGTACAGGTATGGTGGTATATTCAAAATCTGCAAATTATAAATACACCACATGGTGCTTCTAAGTGTGTGGTTGGAGATGTTCTGGAAATAAACTGGAGGTAATCTGAGGTATTCAGGAGAGCAAAAAATTTAAGATTTGTTTGATTTAAATTATTCACCTCATTGAAATGGCAGACTTAGTTTAGTGTAATAGTTGTTATGCATTTGATTCACGTTCTACTTTTTGGAGATTTTGATGCTGTCTAATCTGTAGACAGTTCTCTATATTGCAGCAGGAGATTGTATTTTTGAAGTCTGAGATTTGTAAATTATCTGGTAAACAAGCTCAGGCTGGAACTGCTGCAAAGCCACTGGCGCAGAGACGTACTAGGAATGGCAGATGGATTACAGTAGGATCTGGTAGACTTAGAGTTGTGGATAAAAGGCATATTGCACAGTCTGTTGCTCTACATAATTAATTTTCTGCACTTTCAGAGTGTAATGGTGTTATGGAGACATTCTCAGACACCAGGTGTAGTGGTGTTATGGAGACAGGCACTGAGGGTAGTGATGTTATGGAGACAGGCTCAGGCACTGAGGGTAGTGGTGTTGTGGAGACAGGCTCAGGCACTGAGGGTAGTGGTGTTGTGGAGACAGGCTTGGAGACTATAGTGAGGCCTAATAGAAAGCAGTTGTTTTTGAGGGATTCCATCATAAGATGAACAATGCTGGTCTTGTGAGATGTCTTCCTGGAGCTACTGCTCACAGAGACAGGAGATGTATTTGTAATATTGTTAAGCGAGCAAAGCAGGAAGGGAAATTAGATGTACTTGTCCATCTAGGGACAAATGACTAGGCATGCAATGAGATTTCAGAGGTTAAGGAAGTTTTTAGTGTTTTTGCCAATGATATACGGCAGGTTGCTTCCACAATGTCATTCTCTGAAGTTCTGCCTGTGTATAACACTCAGAATGACAGTGGATGGGACTCAGGTCGCCACAGGCACCCGGCAGATTGAAGAGTCGGCTCCTCTGACTCTCCCTGGAGCTGAGCTCAGACACCTGGTGTTTGGGTCAGCAGGTAGCAAGCAAAGCTATGGTGGCCGCTACCCCTTTCCCTAAGGATGCTCTGGCATCCGAGCAGGGTGCACACAGCCTCTGCTCACTCCTTTCTCAGGAGCCTGTTGGTGTGGAGGTGCGGGCCTCCACACAGAGGGCAGGTAGCCAATGCCCACCCTTGTTGCCTGAACCGGGTCCCGGCAGCCGTACAGGACCCCCGGAGCTGGTAAACGCAGAGGCGCGGGCCTCAAATCAGGGGGCAGCCAGTACAGCCTCCCAGTAGCTGAGTGAGACCCAGGGGGAGATGGAAGGCTCGCCCCCTCCCCAGCATCCCGAACAGCGCAAGGGGGAGAGCACAGTCGGCCCTCCTTCCCAGAAGCCAAGCCAAGATGGGCCCAGCTGACAACTCCCATCATCTTTGGACAGCCGGAGAAACCCAGGAGATCCAGGTGACAGAAGGGCTGGGTGGGCATCTTTGTTTGGGTGGGGGCTGTTATGGGCTTGGGAAGCTGGGTGGACACCTTTGTTTGGGTGGGGACTGTTATGGGCTTAAGAAAATAGGGGGGGCGCCTTTGTTTGGGTGGAGGGCTGCGCAGGTGCAAAACCACCTGTGGGATGGAGCCTGGGATGGATGGCTCCCCAGGCTAAAGGGACTTTATGTTTAAGTCACCCTGTACCCAGGGAGGTGCATGGTGCAATGCTGGCCAGACCCAGGACTCAAAGGGGGCTGGTCGGGACAAGGACGGTTGGGGAGGGGGCATGGCACTAAAAGACTGTGTCCACTCTGAGCAGCAGCCAGCTGACCCGTGTGAGTCATGCTGCAGCTGCCGGGAGTAGACAAGGGGGAGATTGTGTTTTACTTTTCAGCCACATGGGGACCACCCCTATATTCCACTTAGAATGTGTAGTTAGAATGTCCACACCTCGTTAAAGAAGTGTGAAAACCGTAGATCACACAGTAACAAGCGGCGCATGCTGCCCCTGGGTGGCCGCCGGTTCGTATAGCCAAACGGCACTGTTAAGACACCTCCA